TTTTTTTTTTTTTTTTTTTTTTGGCTTCTTTTTTTTTTTTACCATATTAAGTAGTTTTATGTCGATAGTGGTTTATTCTTATCATGAATATAACTAGAGTCTTCCAACATCTTACTAGCTTGATCTTTTCTCTCATTCACTTCATTCTTGTACTTTCTCCAGACATCTTGTTTAAGTAATTCATTCACATCCTCTGTTGGCATACGGAATAAGGCCAAGGCTAAATTTGTATTACATAGGAGGAAAAGACCAGTTGCCACTGCGAATCCCATAATAACGCGTTCATACACCAAATGACTTTCATATTTCCAAAAGATACGCATTTGACGGCGTTTACCGGCGAGATAAATTGTGCGGAACTCCTTATCACGCAATTCCCAGAGTGTGTGATACCATCGTATTCTCTCTGGTATATCGTACTTGTTCTTCATTCTCTTTTTTTTTTTTTTCTCTTTCTCTTGTTCTTTCTCGTTTCCTTTCCTTCTATTTTCTTTTTTTTTTTTCCTTTTTTCTTCTATTTTATGTTTATGGAAATGGAAACGGTGTGACTCTCCCACAAAAGTAGGGCAAATTCCAATCTACGTTTCCTTTTCCCACAATCACTATTAAAGAAAAGAAAAAAAAACAAGAGAAAACGTACGTTAGGGAGTACACCCATTAGGAATCACTCTTTATCAGCCATTATTATTATTAATGGTAAAGAAAGGTGGGGTGGATGGGAAACTACAAGAGGGAAGAAATTGATAATAATGATAATAATAGTAATAATACCAAGAGTTTTTTTTTTTTCTTCGACGACTACGATTAAGAGCGCAGAAGGATAAATATATATATATATATAAGCAAAAGGACAAAAATGGAAGAATAAATAAACATAAATAATAATAATAATAAAAAAAAAAGAAAACAGAATCCATACATCCCCCTAATCTCGCTCTACATGTGTGTGTTTTTTTTTTTTAAATGGGAGTTACATCTTCTACATCTGGTGAAGCCCAATGGCTACCGTCATTCCACCCACCAACTTCTTCCACAACGGCCTCTTCTGCTGGGGCTATATTCTCCTCTACAATGGCTTCATTCATATCCGCATGAGAATCCAATGAATGGGCAGACTCCACAGAGTTCTTCGCACGCAACGTTGCCGCCTTCACTGCAATCTCTGTGTCCATGGAATTAACAGAAGAAGCAGAAGAAGAAGATGAAGATGTATCCACATCACTGTCTCCATCTTTTCTTTTTTCTTTCCTCCTACGTCTGTGATATCTCTCCGAAGCTGTGCCATGTCCATCCTTTGCGTCTTTTGTTAATGGTGATACTGGGTACACCATACACTTACTACTGTAGAGTGCGGAGATGAGCATAGATACAATGAGTCCATTAGGCGAAAAGTACTCAGGTGGGTCCACACGGTCAAGTGTGTAGGGAGCGAGTGAAACCGTACAGGGCCAATCCGCCTTTACCCACACATGTGGGGCATCATCTAATACGGCAATATTTCGCGGTTGTTGGGATGAACCACTTTGTGGTTTTGATGCGCGATCCAATTCATGTAATACCGCAATTATAGACTTGGGCGTTCTTGCGAGATTCCGTTGGTACAATTGCCAATCCGTTACGTTGTTGTTGTTGTTGTTCGTATTTGTATTAGTAGTATTGTGATTATGATTGTTCTCATCACTATCATTCTTATTGATATCCAAATGGGTGGTTCCATTAGATGTAGAGGAGGATAAGGTTCGCATAATGGATTCTGCTGTAAAGATACGACCGCCGCCTTCAGGAAAAAGTTCTCCTTTTGGATCAAATATCTGAGAGAGAATCGCCTCTGTTCGACGAAGAGATGATTTTGTTACCAAGATAAGTGGAATACCCCATTCCACATGAAAGTGTCGAAGCATTTCTCGTACCCCACGACGTACATAAATCGTTTCTGTACGCATGGCCTGTTTATGTCCATCTGTTACTAAATAATGAACATCTTTACGTTCCTCACAATAAAGTTGTAAATCCCCACGAATACCACCTCTTTCTTGATGCCATGCGGTTGTAGTAGCGGCAGTGCTACCATCCATGTCTGGTGGTTCCCCTGCGAGAATGGCATTATCCACAAGTGTACGATCCATATCCACCATGAGTATTTTATCCTCGCGAAGGTGTCGTAATAATGGGGCTACATAGTGACTGAAGGAATTCACAATAAAAGTGGTATTCTGTACCACCTGATCATTCACTACTTCACTGGGTCCTTGACCAAATCGTCGTGATTGAGATAAAGTGAGAGAGGCAATGGGTTTAGCACTATGAGTATCTACAAGAATAGCATCAAGACGTTTAGAACGAGCGAGACGAAATTCAATTTTTAAACGTTCATTTCTACACTGATGTTTTTCACGCGTTGTAAGTGAAGAAGGTTTTATTGTGTTTCGGTTATGTTTTGGTGAGGAGGTTCTTCTAGCATAAGCACTAGATGTAAAGGATCTTTCTTTTTCCTTCTCTGAACTTTCATTCTTCACGTTATTGTTGTCGTTTTCTTCGTCTTCGTCTTTCAGACTATCACCTTGTGACCATTCCACTACTGCTTCTGCTGCAATGTGATCATAGTGTCCCCATTCAGCTGAATCACTCTTATTATCAGACATTACTCCATGATGATGGTGTTTGATACCGTTATCACTATCCTCTTCACTAGAACTATCACTATCACTATCATCATCACTAATATCATGTGAATGGCGATGACGTACCTTACTGTCTCTTCTTCTTTTTCTTCTTCTATTATGTGGGCGACTATCCTGCATAGCGCAAATCACTAACTCCGTAGTCTCTGCAAGTGCTAGAAAGAGTAACTGTTGACCTTTCTTACTGCAATACACTGCCGACTCCTGTGGACGAAAGCGAATCGTTCCTACCCGTGTGAAAAGCAATCTTAATGGTAGGACTACACCACTCCCCAAACACCCACGACTATTCTTACCAGTATTACTAGTACTAGCACTAGTAGTATTAGTAGTATTAGCACTAGTAGTAGGAGTAGTAGTAGTAGTAGCCTCACTATCATTAGTAAAATTTACATTAGGTTCAACACCTGCTGTGTTAATACCCCAACGACGACGACGCGGCTCACCCCGTGCACACCAGAAGTTTAACCGTGCAATAAGTTCTTCTGCAAAGGCACACTGTCCATTCGTCATAAGTGTCTCCGTCGCAGTGGGGATGGATGTTGTTGGCACTGCCACTGTTAGCGCTGTGGATGGAGCTGTTATTAGTGGTGGAAGTAGTGCTGGTCCACGGTGCATTGTATCATGACCGGCATTGGGCGGAACAAAGAGAGCCTGATCGAATGGCACGCAATAATCATCCACACATCCCGGCTGACGGCGTAATGGACCTGTTGGAGTATCCATAAGAAGACGTCCATTACCAGCAGCAGTAGTCGTAAAGAAGGTACCGGTGGCACTGCAGCGGTTAGAGTGCATGAGAAGCCATAATGGACGTATCTCTTCTTCTTCTTCATTATCTGCTGCTTCTGCTGGTTCTTTTTCTTCTTTTTCTTCGTTTTCTTCTTCTTCTTCTTCTTCTTCTTTTTGCTGCTCCTCGTTGTTTACATTTGACATCTGATCCTTTCTATCTCGTGGGGGAACTCCACGTCTTAACATGGTATGATTAGATAATCGATGCCGCACTTCTTCCACATCACTAGAAGATCGTCTCTTCTCTTGCGGATCAACACTACTACTATAAGATGCGGTAGTGGTACTCGGTACAAGACGTGGAGAAGTATATGTAGAATCGCGAGTATGTACAGATGTGTGTCTGCGGTGTAATTCTGGAAACATTTGGGTAAGAGTGTCTATAGTGCGACTCCACGCTCGTGTACTTTCTGGTACATTTTCATATCCATCACGGTCCTTACTAGAGGCCTTTTCTTCTTTTTCTTCAGTTGGTTCAGTTATTTCGGTTTCTCTTCCCATAGTTCTTATCGACTGCAGAGAAGGCATTACACCTGCTATCCCAGTACTAGTAGTACTATTATTATTCGTACTATTATTATTACTATTACTATTACTAGTAGTAGTAGTAGTAGTAGTAAGAGGAATTTCATATTCGGGTGGCATCTCTGGTTCCTGATAGGTTACGAAAAAAAACTTGCGATTTCCAAAACAAGGTTCATTATGTTCACAAACACCAACAGCCCTACTAGCTACAACAACATAAAATAAACCTTCTTCTCCTTCTCCCTCGCCTTCTCCTTCTCCAATGTCAGAAGTATTTACAACGACCTCATCATCCACGTTGCGAACATGTCGGGCGTGTAAAACGCATCGTGACATGAGCTGCAATGCACATGCCGTAGGATTAAAAGCAATAGCAGCTCGCATGAAAACCTGCAAATTAACTGGAAAGAACGCATACTCATTATTAGTATCCGTACTATTATTATTATTAGTAGTAGTACTATTATTATTAGTATCATTATTATTATCATGGTGGTTATCATCATTCCTTTTTCCCACCAAGGATAAACTCCGTACCAATTGTCGTCCTCGTCCATGTTGGTGTTGTTCTTCTTGTTTCTTTGGCCGTTGTGGTGTAAGAACACTACGTGCCCGTTTAAGACACGGCAGCATCCGCTGTGCTCGTTCTCTTTCATTATTGCTAGTTGTATTTTCCTCCACATCTGTGAGATCAGTAAACCGATTTTCCGAACTATCTCGTCTATGTGAAGAAGTTTGCTGATGATGATGATGATGATGATGATGATGGGTATTATGTTGTGTTCGTCGCTGTGGTGGATGTCGAGGTCCAATCCAATCCCGCAAGACAAGATCATCCATACTATCCACCACCACAACCTGCAAGTATTGATGAAAGAGGGCCATTACTACTATACGCCGTGCATTCTCCACATGTCTTGCCGCTACATTTTCCTTTTGATAACAAACTCGAAGTTTTTTCCGTTCCCCCCGTTCAGAAGAGGATCGATGTCTACTGTGTAGATGAGGAGATGTGGTGTTTTCTCTATCACAACTGAATCGTCTCATACGATGCCAACGCCGCAGGAGTGTGTTGCCGTTTCCACCTCTTCTTATTTCAGTGTCTGTTGAGTCCTGTCGGGCAATAGCAGCAACGGCAATACTCTGCCAGGCGGTGAAGAGGCGATGGGAGAGATTTAACACAGCCCGCACGTAGTCATCCAAGAGCATTGCCGCACTGCTGATCTCTGCAAGGACGTATGAGAGTACCTGTAGACGACGTGATATGATAGGAATGGCATCGGAAAAGGAATGAGAGGGCAAGAAGGATGATAAGGCGTCTAACGACAAGTGATGCCGTGTTGGGGCCAACATATTGTTAATATGATGATGGATATTATTATTATTATTATTATTATTATTATTATTATTATTATTATTATTATTATTATTCTTGTTGTTGTTATGACTGTTTTATATATTACTGGATATGGATAAAGACGCACCTCCAGCCTCAGCTGCTACACGCAGCAGGAAGGCTGAAACGAAATACAACTACACTCTTTATACACTCTTGCTAATATATATATAGAATAAATAGATAAGAAGAGAAGAGAAGGAAAAAAGAAAAAGAAAAGAAAGAATGGGTTCGTCTAATATTATTCTTGTTATTATTATCATTATGGAAATCTTTTTTAGTTTGCTCCCTTGTACATCCTACAGATCAATTCTCACTCTCACTGTTACTTTTATTTTCTCTCTCTTTTCCTCTTCTGAAATCTCCAACACACAGACACATATAGATAGATAGAGAGAGAGAGAGACTTCTTCTTGCTGTGATCAATAATATATATATATATACCTTTTACGCGTTATCCTCCCTTCTGAGCAGCAACACCACCACCACCACAAGAAATCCATCACCTTTCTTGTTTTTTTTTTTTAATACCATGCGATATTCTACCTCCTTCTTTCTACTTAATATTCCTCATGTTCCTGTTGTTGTTGTTGTTATTATTGTGACTGTGACTGTTCTTGTTGTTGTTCTTGTAGGAAACGGCGCAGTTTCTCCACCTCATCTCTCTGCCGCTTTACTTCTGCGCGGTCTGCGGCCACGTGCAGTTTGCCTATAATATCCCGCTTTGCTCGCATCAACAAAAAGGCCGGCAGTTCCTTTGTGGTATCGCACTTCATCACACGAAGAATCTCCTTTGCGTTCTCCTCCATTGTGTACTCAGAGACCACTGGGGCCGGCAGTAGAAATGTAGAGACGACTGTGAAGTACAGGGTGAGGCCGAAGGTAACGCCAATGACGATGTTGGCAAGAATGCCTTTACGCTCGAGATAACGATCCACGGCGATCTTGCGGCGGTAATATTTGAAGTGTGTGCGGAATGCGGGATCGAGAAATCGCCAGAAGAGAAAAGTCGCCCACTTCACCTGCGCGGGGGAGGCGTACGCCATGACTAGCAGCGGTGAAGTACTTAACAAATAAGGAAGAAGGAAGAATATATATATATATATATATATATATATATAGAGAGAGAGAGAGAGGAGAGAAGAGAAAAGAAGGAAATAATGACTCATTCGCAGAGTAAGAGGGAAGAGAAGAAGGGGAGGCATGAGAGATGAGAAGAGTCATCAAGAAAAAAAAAAAAGAACAAAACAAGAAGAAATAAATATAATAATAATAATAAAGAAAATGTTTCTCTGTGCTGGTAATGTTATCGTATCGTTAGGAAAAAGAAAGAGAGTAAAAACAATAAAAAAAAAAGAAAAAAAAGGGGTAAGAAACAAATTTAGTTTGTTTAGATGTAAAACAAAAGAAAAAAGTTGCTCTTTAAAGAAAGCGATACCCCTTCTCCCACACTTCAATTTTTTTTTCTTATTTTTCTTCTTCTCTTCTCCAACAACAAAAAAGAAAAAAAAAATCGTTTAACCACACAAAAGAAAAAGAAAAAGAAAAAAAAATGTAAAGTTAAGTCCGAAGAAGTATCTGTAAAGAAAAGAGTAAAGTGTGATTCTATACACGCATACACAATTTCATACAAACACAGACACACACACACACAGACAGGCATACATACATTACATTACATACATACATATATATATACAGAGAGATATAGAGATGCATGTATAGAACTAAATATATTTAACACACACACACAGGGAGAGAGATAGAGAGATAGACATCGTAAATTTTGTTTTCTCTCTTTTTTTTAGTCTTCTTTTTTCTTTTTATATCTGACCTAATCTCTCTCTCTTTCTTTCTCTCTCTTCTTTCCTACTGCGTAGAATAAAGAGGGTGGTGGGAAAATAGAAAAGGGAAAAGAGATAAGAAAAGGGAAATAAAAACGAAAAAAGAAAACAAAAGAGAAAATCTTGTCAATTTGTTATAAATGAATAATAATAATAATAATAATAATAATAATAATAATAATAATAATAATAATAATAATAATAATAATAATAATCGGCTTAGATATCTTATAAATCTCTGTATATATGTGTGTAGTTAATGTACATTTAAGTAAATGTACTTTCTTAAAGTGAAGAGATGAAAGGAAAAACCCCCGAAGGGGGAAGGAGGGAAAAATGAAAGAGAGAGGAGAAGGGAGTAATAAAAAGAAAGAACGAAAGAAAGAAAGAAAAAAAAAGGGGGAATAACAAAATATTGATAGTGAAACCATGAAGAAAAAGTGTACCTTGTAAGGGATTACAGTATTCCACAACAGAAAGAAGAAGAAACAACAAAATAATATTTAAAAAAGAAAAGAAAAACATATGGAAGTCCAAAAGGGAATGTGTACAGTTAATAATAATAATAATAATAATAATAATAATAATAATAAAGCAGAGGAGATAATACATCATTCTCATCCATCCAGAGAGAGAGAGAGAGTCAGAGAGAAAAGTGTAATCAATAAAAGGCAGAAATTACAAAATATGATCAAACCACATAAGAAGAGCTCATTACTTTCGCTGTGGCCGTCTTAAGAAACATAGTAGTAGTTATTAATAAATGTAATTACTCTAGTTTCCATACTTATCTCCTATCATCTGATTCTTTATTTTTTCTTTTCTTTTCGTTATGTCGGTCAACATCTCCTGTCTCTCTCTTTAGTTATTTCCTTCAAAGCCTGATCCAGACCCACTAATCAGAATCAGTTTCTCCCTTTCCTTTGTACTTGTTTCGTTATTAAGTACTGTTGTCCTTTCACCATTATTATCTCCTCCACTTCCTATCTCAGCTTTTTCACACAGAGACTTCCTCTCTCTCTTTTTCTTTTTCATATATATATTTCTCAGTTACTTCCCTTCTTTTTTTTTTTTATTATTGTGTTTCTCCATTCCAATTTGTGACGGCTTTGGGCTTATGTATATATTCATAATTACCAGTGCTTTTTTTTTTTTTTTTCCTTGTGTGTCTGTATCTCCTTCATACTCTTTTCCTTCATGTTTTGTTTTCCCTTTTTTTCTTTTGTTCTTACTTCCTTCGTTTATCCTTTCGACCCTTTTTCTCAGTACGTACCATCTTCTTTCCCTTTTGTGGTTTCATGATCAGCACCTCCTCCTTCGATTCCTCGATATTAGACCCGGCAGAAGCATTAGTATTTTTATTTTTATTATTATTATCAGAAGCATCAGCAGCCCGTTTAATAGGAGCAGCAGCAGTAATGCGGTGTTTGGTGATGTTTGTTTCTTTATTTATTAAATTCTGCCGGAAGTGATCCACGAGAAGTTGTACACCAAATCCCGGTGCTCCTGCAGGTTGAAATCCCTTTGGTTTATCACCTCCCATACCTGCCCCTGCAATGTCAAGATGAGCCCATTTCATACCATCATCTATAAAGTTACTCAGAAAAGCAGCGGCTGTGCAGGATCCTGCTTCCCTTCCTGTGGATACATTTACTAAATCTGCAATACCTCCCTTCACAGCTTTTTTATGTTCTTCACCAATAGGCATAGGCCACACCTCATCTCCGCTGATGCGTCCACCTTCCATGAGTTGCTGTGAGAGTTTTAGGTCATTGCTGAATAACCCTGCACGACGGCTTCCCAAACCAACCAAAACAGCACCAGTAAGGGTGGCAAGATCAATAATGGTATCCACTTTTTTGTTTAACTTTGCATCCTGTTGTACATATGTAAGAGCATCAGCAAGGACGAGACGTCCTTCAGCATCCGTATTAAGGACTTCCACTGTAAGACCTTTACGACTTGTAATGATAGAAGAAGGATAATAACTGTTAGGACCAATAGCATTTTCTACCAAACCAACAACACCAACAACATTTACCGGTAATTGGAGTGTTGCAATAGCCTTAATGGTTGTCATTACGGTTGCCGCTCCCATCATATCCAAATGCATCGTTTCCATTGATCCATATGGTTTTACATTAAGACCACCACAATCAAAGGTAACACCTTTTCCAACCAATGCCGTCGCTTCATCGCTTTGTCGATTACCTACATACTCAAATACCACCAAGTAAGGTTCATGACGTGAACCTTTTCCAACGTTATAGAGAAGATTCAATCCTGCTCTTTGCAGACGTTCGCCTTTTAATATGTGACGTACCTTCACACCAAGTGGTGTGAGTTCCTTTTGAATCCACTCACAGTAAAGCTGTGGAATACCTTCATCCTCACGAAGATTACCCAAGTTTCGAGCGGTGTTAATGCAATCTCCAATAACATTACCCCTCGTAACTGCCTCTGTTGCCTCAGAATCAATGAAAAGTTTCATTGGTCCTTCGTCTTTCGTATTCTTTGGGTTACGTTCACCATCACTGTCGTCCCCTTTCTTGGAACGGAGTCGATCGTACTTGTACGCTGCTGTCACGGCAAAGGAAGCCGTCTTCTCCACCACATCCATCGCGGACAGCGCGCTGGGCGGCTGGAATAAATCCCCCATGCTGGACACCGCGTCGGGCGGCGGGGTGCGGAGCAGAAGGCCGGAGGCGCGCAGTCGCTGTGCCTCCCGCACGGCGTTCGTGATGGCGAGGCGGTAGTCGCGGACGGTGGGATTCGGCCCGAGGCCGGCGAGGAGGCGCCGCGTGGCGGAGTCGAGGGTGACGGTCCCCGCCGCCGTCCGGCCGCCGATGGGGAACGACGAGCCGCCGCCGCCGGGGGTCGATGTGGACTTCTCCGCCGCCGCAGCCGCTCCTCCTTCGCCTCCTGCGGTGAGGAACTCCACGGCGAGAAGTCGATCCTCCTCCACGGCGGCCGACCCCCGCCGACGGCCGGAAGTAGTGGAAGAAGAAGAAGAGGCGGCGGCATCGCGGCCGGCCCACGGGAGAACCGCCAGAGATGCGGGGAAGGGCGCCCGAGAAGTGAGTTGCTTCAGCATTCCGTGTATTTGGGATGTATCTCTCAACTATTTCAAATAGGTTATATGTGAATTAGATAGTTATACAGAGAGAGAGAGAGAATATTACGACGTATATATATATATAACTAATGTGGTTGCCCCCTTTTTTTGTTTGTTTTATTTACTGATGATGTTTTTTTTTTGTTTTTGTTTTGTTCTGTTTTGTTTTTTTTTTCCTCGTTTTTTTTTTTCTTTCTTTTTCGACTGTTCTGATGCTTACTTTTTTTTCTCGCTTTTTGTTATCACTGTTAATCTCTTTTCCCCACTTACCTTAAATGGTTGTTTGCTCCGTCTTTGACCTTTGAGATGACAATAATTATAAACAAACACCAAAAAAGAGAAAAAGAGAGAAAAAAAAAAACAAAGAAACACATAAAATAGTAATTGTTGTTTTTTTTTTTTTTCTCTTAATAACATGATTCAATTAACATGAGGGGCAGAACCCCAACAACTTAAGCAAAAACAATAGTAGTATGGCTACCCAAATAGATGATTACAGAGGCAAAACTATTTTTTTTTTCAGATTTTTGCTCAATAGAGGGACCCGCACTGTTAATGTACCCCATTGTATCTATACAGAAGTGGCATCAGTTGATACCACCTCACTCCTTCATATTATGTTATGAAGCAGATGAAAAAAGAGTCAAAGAAATAAAAACAAAAAT